ACACACACACACACACACACACACACACACACACACACACAGTACAGCCTGCTTTGAACTGGACGGGTATGGTCCAAGGAGCGAATGCTCCAAATTGCGTTGATGAGAATGCAAAAACAGTTTCAACAGAACGAGCTGAACAGCATGTTCTTGTTTCCTGGTCCTTTGATTCTTTTAACTATCGCTTATCTATCTGTCTTGTTAAAAGAAACACCATCGTGCCGCCACGCTTCCCCTTTCAAACTAAACAAACACGCAAGGCATTTTAGTGTGTGGTCACTGTGGTGTGTCCTCAGCTTAAAACAAACGTGCAGCACAGTAGCGACTAACTCTGGCATATATTTGTTAAATTGTGTTGGTGTTGTATTGTATACAAAGAGGTTGATTGTATAATATGTGACGTTGGCGTAACCTCTGAATTGACCAGCGTCTGCGATGTAGCGGTTAAGTGTCTCGCTGTCGCATGCAGTAGACATTATTTCGTTTCCCGTGTGGAAATTTCTTTTCTTTTTTTTTTTTATATCAAGCACCGTATCTCGGTCGTTCTGCTGGAACAATGAATCTCTCTCAGCCCAAGTTGAACCTCACAGGTAGGGTCGAAGCCCGCCTCCTAAACGGTCTAAATGATTTTTGTCGATAGGGGTGTAAAACACCTATATTATATTATTAAATCAAGGCAACGTTGTTTTTTTCTAACATTTTTGAAGCACATTATTGTGTATCTTCATTTCTCGGATGGGGAAAATCTTTTATTAAGTAGCTCCATCTTTTTGACGGGAACCTCTCCACACACCCCTTTCACACACACACACACACACACACACACACACAGAGAGAGAGAGAGAGAGAGAAAGAGAGCCTGGGTTGAACCTGATGGGCAAGGCCCAAGCAGACAATGCTCTATATAAACTACAAGGGCTGTCCCACGGAAAACCGGAAAAGGTCCGTAAAAGCAAAAAATCTTCGTCCTATTATAATAAAACTGTAACACATCATACCTCAACATGTGCTTTATTTCTCAATGTAATCACCATCCCGCTGGACACATTTTTCCCATCGCTGGATCTGGGAGAAGATACCCTCCCTGAAGAATCTTTCGTCAAGGGATTTCAACCAATCGTTCACGGCTTCCACGAGGTCTTCGTCGTCGGTGAATCGCTGTCCAGAAATATGACGTTTCATTGGTTCTAAAAGGTGATAATCTGGCAGGGCCAAGTCAGGACTGTGAGGGGGGTGTAGTAGAACTTCCGAGTGGAACCTTTGGAACCAGTCTTTCGTGACGTTTGCGGTGCGTGGTGTTGTGTTGCCAAGCTGCAAAATGACCCCGCTGGTCTTTTTCGGCCCCAGCCCATCAAGCAGAGACCTTTCAATAGTGCAGCTCATCAAACTCTATCCTATAGACAGTCGACTTTGAAATGTTTAGCGACTCGCAAATTTCGCGAATTTTTAGGCGCCTGTCTGTTTGAATAAGTTCGTTAACGCGACTCTTGTTGTCCTCAGTCTTGGCAGAAAAACAAGATCCTGGGTAAACGTTGTCGTTGATATCGGAGTGCCCGGCTTTGAACTTACCACATCACTCATATACCTGTGACTTTGCCATTACTTTCTCCCCATAAACTTACTTTATTTCAGGGTGTATTTCTAGAGGTTTGAGACCTTTTGCGGTCAGAAACCGAATGACAGACCTCACTTCTACCCTTGACCAATTTTCCAAGGGGGTAGCCATCTTTTGAGAACTGCTGTGCTCGTTTGGTTTGTGCGATGCTCATGGTGCTCAATCGGGAAATTTCTAAATGATTGTTTTACAAGTGTGCGTTTACAGAATGTGAAAATATTGAATAGTTTTCAAATTACAGCCAAATTCCGGTTTTCCGTGGGACAGCCCTCGTACATGTACATATGTACATACATTGCGTTGATGAGGATGCAAAACTGTTTCAACAGAACGAGCGAAACAGCATCTTCTTGTTTCCTGGCCCTGTTTGTCTTTGATTTCCTGTTCATTGCCTAGCTTTCTTCCCTGTCAGAGTCAAAAGGATCATCCTGTGTTGACACGCTTCTCTTTTCAGACATAACAAAACCGTTGTCTATGATGAGTCACTTAATTAAGCATTTCGTCGTCGCACGCAGGATACCCAATTTCAATTCCTCTGGGGGATTAATTTTTATCAAGTATTTCGGTCATTCTGCCGGGATATTGTATCCGTCTCAGCCCGGGTAGGACCTGGCAGGCAGGGTCGGAAGCCTGCAATTTAAATTATTCAAACTGTGTCCGTGAGGGCGTGAAATAGGCAACATAAAAAAAAGAAGACCTACAATATACCGTTCGAGTCACATGGCTTTTTAGTGGGTGATCACTCACTGGTGCAGCTAGCTTCAATACAGGGTGCTTCACAGTGATGACCAACTCTGGCATCTTTTTAAACTGTCTGTATTGATGTTACATTGTTTGCTATGTGACGTTGGTGTAACCAACTGTTTTATGTACAAATTGTACTTGCCACTGTTATCCAATTATCCCAATGAGGATCAATAAAGTATCGGTATATCACTGTAAGATTTAAGGTATTCAAACAAACCAGCAGTGCCCTCAGAAATAGAATCGCATCAGTACTAGTCATAGCAATAAGGGCACCAATCACCCTTCCTCCCCTTCTCTTACAACCATTTGCTGATCGCTTACGGCGGGAGCATTTTTTCTTAAGTTAAATGCACATTATTTCATATCATCAGGTACTTGAGTAAGTGTTTTTACTCATCCTTCATTTTATTCAGACATTCAAAAACAAATACCTCTTTGCCACCAATGTGAAATTGTCATTGCTCCCTTTGCAGACCCTGCCCTTCTTGTCATATTTTTAGTATTATTAATATATGGCAATCATGATTCTATCGCGCATTTCTCAGAGCACAGGACGTGAAACAATCCTCCCACTAAAGAACAATACACATATTTTCTTAGAAAACTTTTACACTTGTATCATGTACAGTTTTGTTTTTATAGTGTTATCGAGCTTGCATTCTGTTATGGTAACATTTTGGAATCAGACCATGTCATTAGTTATCCCTTCATAAAGGTGATGAAAGTTAAGACAGGAAACTAACTTGACAGCAACTCAAACAATATTTACAACAAAAATTGTAACTGATTTTCAGACTTTTTATTCAATGTTTCAAAACAAAAGAACCATTCACATATATTTCAATTGAAAGTAGCCTACAACATTCTAAAAAAGCGAACAAAACTACAAAAAGGCTTGAACACAGGTGAAAAGAGATTCAGCAACCTAAACAACCTGATAGATTGCATGATGACAAATAATAAATGCACATAACAGAAGAATTACCAGACCAGAAGGCCATCTAGGGTGTACTCAATACCTCGACTCTAAAGTCTTAAACAGACCTACGCTGTCAAGGTCACGTATTGCATTTAAATACAATGAAAACAGAGACAGAAAAAAACAAAATCGATCTAAGACGAAAATGTATAGACAAATTCACGGGTGTAAAGTGCAACTTTTAAAAAAGTCATCATTTGTCACAAAGCTCAAGAAACAATCACATATTTTCACCAGAACAAATGTTGAAAAAAAGGAACAAAGTTTCATGAAAGTAATCATCATCAACCTTGAAAAAGAAACAGAGATGTGAAATGGTTGGGGAAGGGAAAAGGAAGTGGGGGAAGGGGAGTAGTATAAAAGAATGGGCCTGGCAATCTTCATGTAACATTAAATGTAATGTCTATATCATCACCATGATATAAAAGAAAATCATAAAAATGAATGAACGATGAATTTCATATCATACTGAACACAATTTGCAGCGTTCAGTTAGACATGTTGCATTTTAGTCTCAATCTTTTTCTGCATCTCCTCTGACTGCAGTTGCTCCAATGTCAGCAGAGACAAACCCAGCTGATCTTTCTGTGGACAAAGATAAAAGACAGACAGTGAAAAGACAATACCTGAGCAAATTATTTTCAAGCATTTATGATTCAAAGGCTTTATCAATGAAATGAGACAATTATAGGGAAACAAATTAACAATAATGCAATTCCATAGCATTCAGAGCAAGCAGCCGATTAAGCACTTAAATACTAACAAACTGACAACACTTTTCATTGTCTATAGCTGGGGACCCATTCCCACGTGAGTGAAGTGAGAAAAATTCATGTAGAATATCATTCCTAAGGACAAAACGTTAGACCCCAGTCGGGGTTCAAACCCATGACATGCAAGTTTCAAGCCCGGCAGCCTAACCGCTACACCACCAAATTAAACCCATTTCCATCAATATTTACAGGATGAAACAATAGTTAAAAGAGAAAGAAACTTCTAGGGTTTAACTGCCCCGCAAATGCACAAACAGTGATCACAGCTCATCATTGTTACATAATTACTTAAGACTACATTGAATCGTTTATCTGAAAATACTACAGCAGACAAATAAACAAATTGTGACAGCTGCATGAATAAATAACATGTTGATTGACCATGAAACAACTGGACCAAAAGCAGCAAAAGCAAGGAAAGATGAGGGCAAAGGCAACAAGAAGCTAAAAAGATACAGTCGAACCTGTGTAAGACGGAATCGCAAGGGAGCCAAAAAAAAATTCCGTCTTAGGGGAATTTAGGGGGAGATGGAGGTTGGGGGGGTTCAAAGGCCTAGCCGGTGGGATCAAGGATCGCTTGTCTGATCGGCAAGCAGTGGTTAAAACTTCACACCTCTCAATTGCTATCCTGTCTGATAATGACATGTGTCAGTCTTACTTATCCAATTACCACCAGTGCTTGCCTTTCATAGGACAACTGTTTGATCTATTAAAACGTTTGAACATCTCCTTTGCTTCCACCCTTAGCCCCACCCATCGGTGTAACAAGCACAGTCAACCAGTGCCACCCCTTACTGCCATCATTGTAACAATGATTCGAGGAACTCTTTTCTCGGCTGGCCGTACGATCAGGGCGGCAGGCATTGGTCAATCTAATTTCACACCTCTGGCTTCTGGCTACCCAGAAAAGTTTCAGCAGCGGCTCGCTACTTGAGCACTCTCACGGGCAGTCGTGAGATTTCACACCCACACCACTCTGACCATCTGCATCGCTCAGGGCTCACATGATGGGGTAACATCTACCCCCAAATTGGACCCCTACTCCCCTTCCTCGCCCAGCAGCATGGCCATAGCGTTAAGTTTAGAGTCGGCGGAACCAAACTTGCGAGATATGTTTCAAATCAGGGCTGAGAGGGCAAAGCATTTTCCGTCTTAGGCAGGTGAACCCCTCGGATTCTTTCCGTTTCCGCGTTGGACAGGTTTCCGTTTTATACAGGTAATTAGAGGAATATATCAAGGGGGGAGCGGGGAGATTCCGTTAAGACAGGTTTCCGTTTTATACAGGTTTCCGTTGTTTCGACTGTACTTTGAACGACTGTCGGCCACTAATTATGATGACCAACAATGTTGAATTATTCTCTCAAGGGAAAGACCATAACAAATGCGACTCTGACTCATCAGCAACGTTTCCTGAAGATGAAAAAAAGTCTTAATATTAAAAAAAGCCGCCTTTTCACCAGTGACACAACATACCCTACTGAAAGGCTGTGCCATCTGTCTGAGAAATCTTTTGGAGATTTGAATCGCTTCATCAGTTGACAGGTTGCACAAATTGTCCGTCAAGTGCTCTTGAATCCATCGTGGAATCTTCCCTCGTTTGTCAGCCCTTGCAAATCTCTGTGAATTAAAACATACTGAAAATTCAGACTCAATATAAATTTGAAAAAAAGTTTGATGAAAGGAAGGAGTTGTATGTACTGGTGAAGGTGAGATTTTGTGCTTGTGTGACTTTGGTACACTGTACAGGTCTCAGGATCATATAATAGGGTTGGGAGGACAACAGCAATGTAGATTTTCCACTTTGTCTCTGTGGGAATACCACAGCAGCCAACCCTTGCTCTCAGTCTTTCAAAATTTTTAACGTTCAATTACGCATGCAAGACGGCAAATAATTTTGGAATCAAAGAAGATCAAGAAAAAGACTTAAAAATTCAGCCGCCTAACTACTGTGATACACTTAGTTACCAACCTGACCAACATAGAGAAGTCCTGGTAAAATTCAAGAGCAGTAAAAAATTTCCTTCCATTCCTTAAATATTTACCCATTGCTGAATTTGCAACAGCGTCAACAGCTATTTTTAGCTAAGGTATTTACATATTCAGTGTTTTTCTACCTGTTTGATACAAGTATAGCTAGGTAACATATGCAAAGGAAATAGGAAAAAAAAGTTAAGATTCACAAAAAACAAAAGAAAATTTGAAATAGAAAATTGTTAAAATATTGGAAACTCAGCCATGTTATGGTTTATGGTGAGTCAACATGAATACCATAGGTACCACCACAAGTCTTTGGAAAAGATTAAAACATAGTAGAAGAGAAAAGATGCAGAAGGATCAGGTTCGTCAGAGTATCCACCAAACAACCCACTCATCAAACAGTAGCTTTTACCCTGCCAGCAAAAATAATTTTTGTAACAGCATGATTATTGTACCAAGTGTTGGATGCCCTTTCATAGAGAGAAAAACAATAGCATAAGTCACATTTCAGAATAACAGACCTACCTTGTCTGCAAAGACCATGACTCCGTAGTCCGTCTTGCCCCTAAGGGCTCGGCCCACACACTGTGCTGCATGCCTCATGGCATCAAATGTAAGGAAGTCATTCTCTCGGATCTGGTACTGATCGCGCAGGTACTCCAGCCGGGCCTGTGATAATACAGAAAAATTCAAAAACAACCAAATGTTGAGTACATTCTCCACTTTAAATCAAGGGAAGGAGGGGGGGGAGGAAGAAAGGAGAGAAACAGCAAATTTAATTGTTCACAATGCTTGATTCAGAGTCCTGAGGAAAAGCTGATAATGGCACAAAATAATATAAGAAATATTTACAAACTCTCTCTCTCTCTCTCTCTCTCTTTCTCTCTGAGTATATACATATACATAGTTGTCAACCACAGGCCTCAGTGCTCCTTAAGCTTCATCATCTATGATTCTAAACCATAATTGAAGGCTTTAAAAAGTAATAAAGACATGTACAACAAGAGTTGTTACATATACAATGTAATAATAGTCAATTAATTATTCTCTTATTAAAGTGGACAATAAATTTAACTAAATAACCCAACTTAGGGGTACACAAGGACAAACAATAAATGATTAATATAAAATTACAGTCCAGTAATATCTCACACATCTCACCTTGAGTATCCTGCTCTGTGTGTACACGTAAGGAACTCCGAACATAATGACTGCTCGCCCATAGTGATGGTCTGTCAAAGGAATTAAAATTGCATTCAGTAACAGGAGTTGTGCAAGAGCACTGATCATCTTATTAATTAAAAGTGCTGATGTTCACTAAATTTAAAATGGTGTCTTGTGGTGTGATAATAGCGCTCTTCAACATTGTACACAAAACACTAGAGTTCAATTGCCCAAGGGAAAATTTTATTATATCAAGTTTTTCTGCTGGTGAGTGGTATACACTCAAATAGGAAGATCCCACCCTCAACATAACAGACGTGACCCATACTACATACTAAATAGAGCTGACCAGGTCACAATCTTTCGACTCCGTTGTGGCCACAACAGACTCAAACACCAAATGCACACTAAATTAAAAGTGGGAGAGTCCATGATCTGTAAATGTGGACACGACGGAGAGGATGTCCACCATATTCTACAGCACTGCCAGCGCTACGTCACCCTTCGAACACAGACGTGGCAGAATGTGACTCCCCTTGAGAGAAAGCTCTATGGCAGTCTCTCAGATCTGAAGCGGACTGCACAGTTTGTGCGCGGCATCGGACGGACTGTCTAGCTACTGTCATCGAGAATGAGGAAGAAGAAGAAAAACTCAAATAGGGGATGGCCTCAGGGCAGGCACAATCGAAGCAGCACGCCTCCTAATTGATTTAAACTGTGTTAATGGAAGGTTACAATCCTTAAGTTTTTTTCCCACAAAATTATACAAAATGTGGGAAAGCTAATTAAAAATACTGACTTCTCAACTTGTAATCTGATTTCAATTCTTAAAGCAAAATGTTTAAAAATTGAAACAAGACAGCAAAATTTGCAACAAAACTTCATAAAACAAATTTATACATATAATTGTCTGTTATTCATTTTCCATATAAGTTTTGTTGTATATTTTGCTTTCTTTGGGAATGAAAGACAAGAGGTGCAATGGGGATGTCAGGTTTTTCCCACTCACCAAAGTCAATGCCCTCAGAGACTTTTCCCCTGGCGACTGACAGCAGGACTGCTCCACGCCCGTTCTCACACGCCTGCATCCAGACAGAGGAAAAAACAAGAACAATAATAAACTACAAAAAGAAGGAATAAAGTCTATGAACTGCGCACATGAGACATGAAAGAAACTTTATGAGGACACCCCCCTCCCCTCCCACCACCAACCATTCTCCTTTCCCTCAACCATGCCCCAAAAAAGACCTTTGGTGTTAACGCATGGTGCAAAACAACTATTATTTCGTTATATCGACAAGACTTGAGAAATGAATATATGCCATTTAATGCATCACAATGATTAGCACAAGATTTTTTTAAAAAGATGTTCTTTAACACCTCCCCC